GATTTTCTACACTTCATGACACATTTTCCTTTAGAATTTATATAGAGCAATTTGCTTCCATGTATATTTGAGGGATTTACTTAAGGAGATATGATGTGGGCGACTCATAACCCTTCGTATATAATTCTTTATTCATATGAACTCCTTTACAACCATGTGTCATATCGTGTAAGTGTATTTCACGGTATTACAAATGCTCATATGTAATCTTTTAGGTTTAACATCTTTTGGTTATTTGTATTGTATCCAAGTATATAAGTTTATTTTTCCACGTTCTTACAAAATTGTAATGGATTTGCCATTATCCATTTTGGCCCATAATTTTGTTGATGGAAAAAGAACGGGACTCAATATCACCACAACTCATTGATGAATTTAGTAGCTACTTGTAAAAACCAAAATTACCATTGGTTATCATCAATCTGTGATCCCATATTTTCATGTACATGCGCATGCATAAAAGTTTTTCATTTCTTTTGGGATATCCATTGCCTCTTCAAGGGCATTATACTATCTCTTCCAGGATAATCATAATTTAGAGAATGCGAATCATAACCTCTCCTTGAGCATTATAGAGCTTGGATTTTAATCTCCACTTTGGGAGTTGAGTCATTAGAACCTATATGTCTATCATACTTCATCCATGAGATATCAATATTCCCATGTCCGCAGATTGACCTTTTCGGGACAAGTATCCTTGCGGCAACTGTCATGCGTCTGGCATGCGATAGTTATGCTTCGAGAATGCAATAGTTTTAGTAGTGCCATATTCTTCTTCTTTTGATGGACTGAACCTTTTGAGTTTGAGGGTCTGCCACGCTTCAGGCGTGCAACAGATAAATCATTTGCTGCCATATTATTTTATCCAACAGGGACATTAATTCTTGTAAGCACATTTACAGCAAGTATATGTGATTTTATCACTTTTGTTGCATCATTAAATGCATCTGGCATTTGATTTGCATATCGTTGCATCATTCAATTATTCTCACTTCCGTTTGTATATTGATTGCTTCATGAATCAAAATAAGACAAATTCTCTTCGTTCTTCTAGAACGGTTTTTTTCTCATCATTCTTCTGGAATGATATTTGCTCATTGTTCTTCTGAAACGAAGTTATTTTCTCCCCCTAACGGTGGGAAAATTGTCTTATCAAAATGACAGTCTGCAAACCACATGGTAAATATATCCTTAATCAAGGGTTTCAAATGTTGAATGATAGATGATGTTCAACATCAATACCTAATCCGCAATGATGCTTCATTTCAGTATGTTGTGGCAATGCAATAGGCACATAGATAACACAACAAAAAACTTGTAAATGTGTAATGTTTGGCTGGTTCCCAAACACGAGTTGTACTGAGAAGTATTGATGGTTGTCAGTAGGTTTCAACCAAATCAATAATGCATCATGCAAAATAGCATGTACCCATGTAAAAACTGGCAATTTTGTTTTCGTGAGCAGAACGCGGGTAATCTATTTCAATCGCTTAATAAATGTTTCTGCTAAACCATTTTTGAGTATGGACATAAGGAACTTATGGTCCTTATTTAATAGTCTGTAGACTAAGACTCTTATAGCTTTTATTGTAATTAAGTTGAGGCACTGCGGTACTTCAAACTTAAGGTACTTATCAAGAAACTTCATGTCCTGATCTTGAGGATCAAGGAACTTCATGCCTTATCTTTTTGTTTGATGGAACTTCAGGTCCAATCATTTTTATTTGATGAGGATCAAGAAACTGCAGGTTTTGATCAGATCAAGGAACTTCGGGTCCAGTATATACTCATCGTAACAAAAAGAAGTACAATAAATAAATTAAAGCAATATGCGGTAATTCCAGACATAATGAATAAATTGCATTTAAGTAAATAAAGCCTGTGACAAGAGCTTTAATTCAGCACCATTCACATAAATCAAAACTTAAAGCAGTAGGTGGTAAAATCGTCCATGATAAATAAATTGCTTTAAAGTAAATAGAACTTGTGAAAGGGTTTTAAACCAACACCAATTCACATAAATAACAAGAAGTATCATACCTCATTTTATTTATTATTTTTCTTTCTTTTGTCAACACTTATTCAAACCTTATTATTGTTACTTTTCTTATTTCTGCAGCATGGTGCCATGCACCAACAGAAACCATTTATATTATGTTGACCAAATGGTGTCATGCACCATTCAAATCCTTTTATATATATTTTTTCTTAGGTTGCAGTCAACATCCTTTTTTTTCTTCTTCACATGTGCCTTGCCATTCCATCAATCCCCCTTTTCTATTATTTTTCTTCCTTCTCTGTCTCTGCCAATCTCGAAACACAAGGCCAGTTGGGTAGTTATGGAGGTTGCCCAAATTCAATTCAATCCAAAAGGCTACTAGAGACTGGTGTTGTTCTTGCATGACCCAGGGAACATGGCATCGTTAAGCAAGAACCTCCTTACAGAGACATAGATGCCAGTGGGGTTGACGGAGGCACAAGAGAAGGAGGCCTGTGTGGATTCATTATTGCCATCACCATCTCAAACATCCAAGTATTCATGGGAGTTCTCAAGATCCATAAAAAACAACGTGATCTGGGTTTCCAAGTTTGATGAGATTCTTATGGATCTCTGGAAACCAGTTGTCAGGTACGAGTTTTCTTATCTCGTGACGACTTCAAGTCGTAAATTTCAATTCTCACCGGAATTCGGTGGGGTGCTTCTGGCGCAGTGGGAGAGACGAAAAATGGGCATACCTTTTATTCTGTGAGATTTTAGATGACAGAGGTGAGAGGTGGATAATGCTTTACCAGATTTATGGCGTTGTACTTTCCACTGACATGAGAGCTTCTCGTGCTGATAACGTGTTGTAAAATCGATGGTGTGTGTGCAGTGGAATAAATAAAGGGATAATTTGATATAGATCTAATTTTGTGAGCCATTACTATAATTAGTCCATTGCATTGAAATAGGTCCAATAATTGATATTCCACGTAAGCGTATTTATAATTTGTACCATATTTATCCCTTAAACTGATAAATTGTAGTAAATATTCAAAATTTCTTAATTATATCATTATTTGTGATTTAACTAATCCCTTAATTGTAGGATTAGTTATAGCAATAAAATCTCAACCCCAAGTCCGTTTCATCCCTCCTTTTTTTTCCTTCTTCTAAACAATTTCCTTTGTTAGATCATGGAATCAATCATCCTCCTTCTTCTATCATATTTCATGGGTGATATTTTGTGTTCCTTCCTCCAAATTCTTTCATGACAATTTCAGTTTTTATATAGCTTTCACAATTTTTTTACATATTCGTTCGGCAATACAGTATCAATTGCAAAAATAATACATTATCATGCTTTTACATTTGCTCTATTATATTTTTGTGCGTATCATAAAGGTAAACTGAAACTTAGTATTTGTTCCTTTTTTTTTTTTGTTTAGTATTTGTTCCTTTAATAGAGGTATATTATATCATATCTCTATTCTAATGTTCTGCCATGGAGGTTCAACATTTTTCTTCCTATACAATAGGTAGTTTATTTTTATTTTGTTGGTAGATTATATCTGTTTTGTAGGTATAAAGCATTTTTCTTCCTATACAATAGGTAGTTTATTTTGTTTTGTAGGTAGATTACATCTGTTTTGTTGGTATAAAGTATTTTTCTTCCTATACAATAGGTAGTTACTAAATTATATCGGTTTTGTAGGTAAACATCATTAGGTGGTTACTAGATAATATTTTAGTTAGTATTTAAATATTCAAAATTAAAAACTGAATAAATGATACAAAAATTAAAGAATTTAAATATTTTTATCTAAAAGGGCAAAATTGGTATAAAACTATGTAATTGGATAACTGAACTTAGTTAAAAAACTACCTTTGTTTTTGGACCTAGATCGAAAAGCCCCATAAATAAAACAAGACACAAAATTTACGAGGTTCCTCTACAGTCAGTGTGACTGGAGTACGTCCTCGGGCAACAGTGGTGCTTTCATTATAATTTGGAATAATAGGAGTACAAAGATAACTCTATTTATTCTCTCATCTCCTCTTCCTCTTTTTCTTTCTCTACTCTCTATTGAAAGCATACGGAGTGCTCTATTTATAAAGCAACTCCAAGCACACATCTTTGACAATATAATCTTCCTTCATCTCCCAAGTCAAGATTAATTTTATGAGCATTGAAAATCTACCCAATGTCCTTAATTTCTATGTGGGCATTCATTACCCACTATTATTTTCAACAAACCCATTTTTTTCCCGATAACTATGAAGCATAGTTGCAGCCGCGGACAGTTTCTTTATCAATTGAAGTGTGGAGGAAGTTAGAATTAGTGGCTTCAAAATATACAAATCGTCACCACCATGTGATCAAACTGCTGCAGAAAAAGAGTTGAAAAGTCTCAAATGCGTTCTGTGGGAAAGGTTTCAACTGCCAAGGTTTCCAATGAGATACTGCCAAAATGGTGGCCCATTTTTGAAGATACATCATCTATTCTCACCCTTTTTATGTTCATATGCCACGTTTGACGTTTTCATAAATCTGCACAAATAAAACTGACTAATAAAAATAAGAATAAAAATACTAAATAGATAATAAGCGGTATATATGTTACACAGTCCGCTACACCTTTGTTGTTTTTCTCGTGTCCTTGTACCATCATAGGTCTATATGCGTAAAGTTGTGCTATCCACATATTTTTTTTAACCTTTTACACTTCTTTCTCACTTTCTAATCGTCGGATCGAATGAATTGCAGAAGATCAAAGAACAGAAATTAACTAAGGATGTTTAAGAAGTAAAAAAAAAAGGTACATAAATAGCATGACATAACCCCAATTGAAATAAGTAGCGGTGTAGAACTTTGTCAATTTTAAAGTTGGATCTCCTTTTGTATTCAGATGATCCTACGCGTTCACGCGTCCTCCGTTAACTTTAAATATTGCATTTTGCAACTCTTTTTACAACTCTCCAGAGGAACAAGAAAACTCTATCCAGTTAGTACACGCCAGTTTAGATTATGGTTGAGATGTTTCTTTCAGGGTATCTTTTTGCAACTACTCCCAGGGTGGACCTAAATCTGATCAAGTCCAGCTTGTAGCATTTAAAATCTCAGCAACCCCAAAAGCATATCAATTTCATCTTATTATACCAAATTATTGCACTTCAAGTCCTCATTGAATTTTTTTTTTTTTTTTTTAAAAAAAAATCGAACCATGAACTCTACTAAATGGGTTGCGAAGATGAAAAATATATTGCTTATCTTCCAGCTATTTGTTCTTCCCTCTTGCATTTTTTCCCTTGACACCATCACCCTAAACAAACCCATCAAGGACGGGGACGTTTTAACCTCCAGCAAGAAATTCTTCGCACTAGGGTTCTTCAGCCCCGGCAATTCTTCGAACCGCTATGTCGGAATTTGGTACAACAAAGTTCAGGAGCAAACCATCGTTTGGGTTGCAAATAGAAACAACCCTGTCACTAATACCTCCGGACTCCTAGCAGTGATTAGTCATGGAGGCCTTGTGATCTATGGGAATGAGAAAAGTACCCCTCTCTGGTCTGCTAATGTCACCGTCTCTTCTCCAAACAATTCCGTGATAGCCAAGCTTTTGGATACGGGAAATCTTGTTGTGGTTGAAAATAATGGTAAGGTGCTTTGGCAAGGTTTTGATTATCCCTCGAATACACTGCTTCCTTTTATGAAAATTGGGCTGGACCGGCGGTCCGGGTTGAACCGGTTCCTCACATCTTGGAAGTCCCAAGATGACCCGGGAATCGGAAACTGCTCGTACCGGATAGAGCCAAGTGAAAGTCCGCAGCTGTTCTTATACAAGGGTCAGGCTCCATTTTGGCGGAGCGGATCTTGGACCGGTGAGAGATGGTCCGGGGTGCCGGTAATGACAAAAAATTTCATCTTCAATGCTACTTTTGTGAACAATGAAGATGAGGTATCCGTCATGTATAGTATTGTTGATGAATCAATCTTCTCAAAAGTGGTGATCGATGAATCAGGAATTGTTGAACGGTCCACGTGGCACGATCAAGTGCATCAATGGGTCAAGTTTTGGTCCGCCCCGGTAGAGCAGTGTGATTTTTACGGAAAGTGTGGTCCGAACAGCAATTGTGACCCATATATTGCGGATGAGTTTGAGTGCAAATGCCTACCTGGATTCGAACCCAAGTTGCAACATGAGTGGTATTTGAGAGACGGTTCGGCCGGGTGCGTGAGGCGAAAAGGATCATCTGTTTGCCAAAACGGGGAAGGGTTCGTGAAGTTTGAACGTGTGAAGGTGCCGTACTCTTCTACGACACGTGTGAACATGAGTATGAGTCTGAAAGCATGTCAAGAAGAATGCCTGAGAAATTGTTCTTGCATGGCATACGCAAATGCAGATGAAAGGCAGGGAGGGAATGGGTGTGTGCATTGGCATGGGGACTTGATGGACACAAGGACTTATTCGGATACGGGCCAAGATTTATATTTGCGAGTTGATGCAATTGTTTTAGGTATATTTCCCTTATCAATTTATTGTCTTTCTTTTCTTTTCGTTATCAATAAATCTTCTCGTACCGTCAAAGTTTTATTAAAAAAAAATCTTCATTCTTTTATTTCAGTGAAAATTTTGAGGAATTATTTAGATTGAGAGCCGTACATTCTAAAATATCATTTGGCACTCATCTCTTACCAAATAAGAAAAGTGAATTGTTCCATCAAGAGTGCAAAATGACTTTTTAAAAATACTAATTTTTCCATAAAAAATTCGGAAATTTCTATAAACACTAAAATTTAGTTCTTATGTTCTTTGGAGCTTTTTATAATGTTTTTTAAATATAAAAAAAAAAATGCTTGTATCTCTGCAGCTCAATATGCAAAGAAGTCAAATGGTTCTTTTGGCAAGAAGAGGAAGCTGGAAGTTTCACTAATAAGTGGTCTAGTGTTCCTTCTCTTGCTTTCCCTTGCATGTTGGTTGGTGATGAGGAAGAGAAAAGGTAAACAAATTTCCTTTGACTAGGTTGCCCTCTTATCATCATAATTATTTAAAAAGCCAGTAGGTAAATTAGATATTGTATTAGTTCTAATAATTTAAGAACTCACCATTATCTGTTTATGTACTTTTTTCACAGTTAGGAGAAGTCGGGATAAGTTTCCATTCAGTGTGACCACAACACCATCCTACTGGGAAGATTCTCCTGCTAGAACAGATATTGATGAAAGCAGAATAAATTCAGACTTACCATTCTTTGAACTAAGTACCATAGCTAAAGCCACAAACAATTTCGCTTTCAACAACAAGCTTGGAACAGGCGGTTTCGGCTCCGTTTATAAGGCAAGTAGTTGCCCTCAGATAATGTCTTAAATAGTATATCATACTTTGGATGGACATTTTGAGACTCATTTTTCAGCCATTTGCACTTCAAACCAATTATTTAAAAAAAAAAAAAAAATTATGCACTCGACGTTGGAGTGCATGATGATATAAAAGGGTGAAAACAAAATATCAAGAGCTCCATGCCAATAAAGACTAAGAAGGTTGACTCCATAATAAATTCCATTAGGGCCTCTGTTGTAAAATCCATACCTAATCATTAATCGAGAAGTTCATTTTAGATACAATTTTTAAATATTGGGATCTTTCTTTATTATAATCGTGTATCTCCTTCATTTGGAATACACTAGCCAAGACATTTTTATGTATATACATTGAGTTTTACTCCTTTGTCAAAGTATAAATGCAATTTCAAGGGGAGGATATATATATATATATATAGAGCTAGGAATATGTTGATAACTTTCTTTGAGAAAAATGCATTATAATTTGAATAATTTGGATTATAATTTCAGGGTGTGCTATATAATGGAAATGAGATAGCAGTGAAAAGACTAGCCAAGAATTCCGGCCAAGGAATTGGAGAGTTTAAGAATGAAGTGCTGCTGATTTCAAAGCTCCAACACAGGAACCTTGTGAGGATTATAGGTTGCTGTGTTCAAGATGAAGAGAAGATCCTGATCTACGAATACTTGCCAAATGGAAGTCTTGACTTTTTCATTTTTGGTATGTCTTCTTTTTACTTTTGTATCTTCATGTTATACGAGAGATATTGGGGGAGAGAGAATCGAACTGTGCATGACTAAATTCTCTTAACCGAATAAATTACAAGCCCTTTTTTGTTTACCTGTGTTTCTAAAATTGTCGGTTAAAACCTTTAACCAAGCAAGAATACAATCTAATTTACTTTGCTTACTTTTCTAGATGAAGCAAAACGGGCGTTTTTGGATTGGACAAGACGCTTTGAGATAATCTGTGGGATTGCTAGAGGGATCTTATACCTTCATCAGGATTCAAGATTAAAAATCATCCATAGAGATCTAAAGGCCAGCAATGTTCTATTGGATTCTGCTATGAATCCCAAGATTTCTGATTTTGGTATGGCTAGGATATTTGGCGCTGAACAAATTGAAGCAAATACAAACCGTGTGGTTGGGACATAGTAAGTTTCCTTCAAAAACTGAAAGTACAACTATTTTTTACAATTTCATTCATCTGTCACAAGGCCACAAACTTGAGTACAACAATTTTGTTGATCAGTACATAAAGAAGTTGTGATAAGTAATCACTATTCTTTGTTGCTTCAGTGGTTATATGTCACCAGAGTATGCAATGGAAGGACTTTTTTCAGTAAAGTCTGATGTGTATAGCTTCGGTGTTTTACTGCTAGAAATTGTTAGCGGCAGAAAGAACACCGGTTACTACCACGATAATCCTGACTCAAACTTAGTTGGACATGTAAGCATAACATTAAGATGTTACCAAATTTCCCTCCTTCTACTTCTATAACTTGATGAACAATTTGTAAATGGTTTTCAGGTTTGGGACTTGTGGAAGGAAAGTAGAGCGTTGAAAATTATTGATTCGTCTCTGGGAGAATCATACCCTGTCAATGAAGTTCTAAGATGCATTCAAATTGCACTCTTGTGCGTGCAAGAACATGCGACAGATCGTCCACTCATGTCAGCAGTGGTTTTCATGTTGGGTAATGATGCAGCACTTCCTTCACCAAGGCAACCTGGATTTTTGTTGAAGAGAACTTATCATGCTAGTGGAGATCCATCAGCCAGTACTGAAGGAGCTTACTCCATAAACGATGTGACCTGCACAGAAGTAGAAGCTCGCTAAGGGGAGAATTAGACGTATAATCGGTAGACTATATCATTCAACTGAGAGCATGATCGCGATGAGTGACATAAATAAAGAGGACATACAAATTATAACTATAAATCTAAGTTCTATATTTACAACACTCATCATCTGTCTTGTTATAAATAAAAACTACAAATGATGTGATTTGTAGTAAGTTGATGCCCTAGGCTCTTCAATTTGAAAAGTCACCACTCATGAAGAGTATTCATCGAAATAAAGTAATTAGTTCTCAAAACGTTCTAAATTTTTTGACAAAAGAATTGCTAAAAAAAAAAAAAATCACATGTTATACTTTCATTGAGAAGCTAAGATATGCAATGTGACGTGCATGTTTTCCTGGTTCAAAACCTAGCCAGCTAACATTTTAATTGAGCGTCTTTGAGCATCACCACCGCATGATATGTCGTTAAATGAATTTAATTTTTCAGATTCGTAAATACTGTAATTAAATCAAGCTCATTTAATGATAATAACGAAGTGGTACCTAAACATGTGGTGAGCAAATCTTCACTCGTCTCTCTCTCTCTCTCTCTCTCTCATGGTCTCTTTTTAACCCCCCAGTGGACTGGGAAGTTAAGCTTTGAACGGAGCATTTAAAACCTCAGCTACCTCCGCCATGTCAAATCTCAGGTCATTTAGTTATTTCTCAAATATTGAACTCACAAAAACTCCTCATAAAACACATATGGACTCTACGAAATGTGTGATTATCCATGTATTGCTTATCTTCCAAATCATTGCTGAATCAAAGACGGCGACGTTTTACTCTCCAGCAAGAAGACCTTCGCCCTAGGGTTCTTCAGCCCGGGCAGTTCTCCGAACCGGTATGTTAGAGTCGGGTACAACAAAGTCCCAGAGAAAACCGTTGGATGGGTTGCCAACAGAGACAACCCTGTCGCTGGGACTGGACAAGTCATGGCGGTTAATGGAGGCCTTGTTATTTATGATAAGGACCAAAATACCCGTATGCTAACTTTACCATCTCTTCTCCCAATAGTTCCATCACAGCCAAGCTTTCGGATACGGGAAATCTTCTTGTGCTTGAAAACAATGGCAGTAGTAGCGAAAGGTTGCTGTGGCTGGGCTTTGGTTATCCCACAAGTACTATGCTTCCGTTTATGAAACTTTGGGTTGAACCGGCGGTCCGGAAAGTTTCGGTTCCTGACACCTTGGAAATCTGAAGATGACCCGGGAATTGGGAGTTGTTCATATCGGATTGACCCAGGCGGTTTTCCTCAAATGTTTTACACGGGTCAAACTCCGTGGTGGCGAGCTGGAACTTGGACCAGTGAGAGATGGGCCGGTTTGCACCAAATGACAATTGATTTCATCTTCAATGCTAGTTTTGTGAACAACGAAGATGAGTTATCCGATGTGTTCGGCTGAAGGATGAATCAATCTACTCTGCAAGAATGGTGATTGATGAATCAGGAACCACTGACGGGTCCATGTGGCACGATCAAGCGCGTCTACGGGACAAGTTTTGGTCCGCCCCGGTTGAGCTGTGTGATTTCTATGGAAGGTGCGGTCCAAACAGCAACTGCGACCATACCAATGCCCATGAGTATGAGTGCACGTGCCTACCCGTGTTCGAACCGAAGTTGCAAAATGAATGGAACTTGAGAGATGGGTCGGGAGGGTGTGTAAGGAGAGAAGGAGTGTCCGTTTGCCAAAATGGGCAACGGTTTGTCAAGGTGGCACGTGTGAAGGTGCCGAATGCTTCTACGGCACGTGTGAACATAAGTATGAACTTGAAAGAGTGTGAAGAAGAGTGTTTGAGGAAATGTTCTTGCATGGCATATTCGAATGCAGATGATAGGTGGGGAGGGAGGGAGTGCGCGACATGGCATGGGGATTTGATGGACACAATGACTTATTTATATGTGCGAGTTGATGCAGTTGTTTTAGGTATTGTTTCCCCTTATCAGTTTACCTTCTTCTTTTGTTTCTGCCAAATATGTGAGGAATTGAAAATTGATTAAGATTGGTTCGATTATTTAAATTACACATAGATGGAACCCGAAAGAAATTTCTTTATTTAAAAAAGAAACTGAAGGAATACTAAACCTACAATAATAAGCCTTCTATAACCCTTGCGGTTTAGTGGCCTTTTGTAACCCTTGGGCCTGAGGGATGTGTGCATGTGTGAAGACCCTTTCTTTGTTTTAAAGCATTGTATTTATATGCCTCTTCATGTCTTGACTGAAACATGATTTGTATTGATTTTGGATTTGATTAATTGACGAAAGAACCAAAACTTAATTTGAACTTGATTAATTGACTCAAGAACCAAGAGTTGATTTGAAATTATTTAATTAACAAAAGAACAAAAGACTTAATTTGAATAAGTAATGCCAAATAGGCTTGTAGTTCAGTTGCTCACGAGTCAAGAGCATTCACCCTAAGTCTCGTGTTCGAATTTGGCCCCCCTCCCCCTAGTTTACACAAATTACTGTAGATTTTCTAGACTCCATAGAATCACTCTACATAATTGGCCTTTATCTTATCTTCTGTGTATAGAATCACTCTACATAATTGCATTAGAATATAGAAGAAAACATTCAACGATCACCCCCAAAGTCTAAAAAATTAAGCACGGATTGCGTCTCATTCTATACAAAAGAATAAATTTGTGTTTTTTAGGTGATAAAACCAAATTATTAATCGCATTTAGACCAGAGCGTTCACATTTCATGATGCATGTGTTTTTTCAAACAAATATGGACGGAGAATTTAAGGTCTACCTAATCACGTTTACTTGAATTTATTAAAAATTTGTTTCAAAAAATTCTTTAAAAATTTCAGTCATTTAAAAATACTTTTCAAACGAATTCTTACAGCATTTTGTTTATGACTAATTTAAGAGATGAAAAAGATATATTTAATTATGGTGGCCCAAAATCCTTTCCAAACGTAATTAGAGGACTTGTCAACGTTAATGTGAGATTTGTTCCTTCAATTATGGTCTGAAAGAGGCGTGGATAATCGGTCACGTGACATAGGAGGAAGGACACACGTATGTTCCAAGTGGCAATTGTTTTTGGCCAGCAATGTTGACTCTGAGAGGGGCATTTAAGTAATTCAAATCAAAGTAAGGGTAGTTGTTGATTCCATTCTTCAACTGTTGGGTAACAGCCTAACAGGTGAGGTTTTCCCGTGATTGTGATTATAAAGAAGAGAACCGTTAAAATAATGAAGAAAAAAAGGGACATAGACTGCTTTTGGCAAGTAACCGACACCACATCATCTTTAAAAACAAAAAGATTGATATTAAATAGATGACGTTTTACGGTAGTGGTAAGAAGAAATAATGTTTATGCATGATTTGATTATTCGTGGTTTTTCTTTCTTAACAATTAATAATTTAATCAATTACAATATCGTTTGTCAAAATAAAAAAAAAAAATTATCAAGGCATTGTGGACATGTGATCTCAAAATCATGTCAATTTTCAATTCAAGGAAAAAAAAAAACTTACATAAAATGACAATGAAACTATTTCCGGTAAAACTCACATGATAGTGCACGATTAGTTTGGCATGTTGATTAATAGTGGAAATCCTTATGCGGTTCAAGAGTTAGCCAATGAGGTAAATCTCGTTCTATAATAGCACCTATCATAACAAAATATTTTAAGCCAATCACGTATTTTAACGTTTTACTTCTTTATGTGACCGTTTAAGGAGATAAATTTACTTACAACATGGATATAGTTGTCCAAATTTACTTACAACATGGATATAGTTGTTCAATAACCTTAACTAATTATCCATCGTTATGCATTTCAAATTTTACTTACACACTATTATCTGTTATAACGCATTTATCAACCCTAAGTAATTGACTTTAGATACGGTCATTATAGGATTGGTATACCCGATTTTCGTCTCTGAACACCCATCAATTTTAGTTAAGGGTAAAAAGACTCTTATACCCATATATAAAATTACTACAAATGGCTTAATGATTTGTTAAGAAAAACAATTATTTTCAATTGGATGGAAGTTGTCGAAGCAAAGAAAAAACGCCTTAGAAGACAGAAATGAGGGAGGGCTTAAGGGTAGTTTCGTTAATTACAATTGTTTTTCCTTTTTGGGCCTGAAAAAAATGGGTATTAATGTGTTTATTTAGATTTGTGAGTGTAGGTAGGATTTGGTGGTGAAAGTCTCTGTTTGTCTCTCTCCTCTGGCTCGAATTCTGGAAGCCTCAAAGACACTTCCATCCCGTAGCACCCGAAAACCTCGTAAACCCTTTTCTTCCATTTCATTTCTTTGCTGATTGACGCGAGCGAGTTGATAAATGGCGACTCAGTTCCCGGTCGATTTCAAGTGCCCGATTTCGCTCGAAATTATGTCCGACCCGGTTATACTCTCTTCGGGTCACACCTTTGATCGGGCCTCCATCCAACGCTGGCTCGACGCCGGCCACCGCACCTGCCCAATTTCCAAACTGCCGCTCCCCGACCACCCTTCCCTAATCCCCAACCACGCCCTCCGCAGCCTGATTTCCACTTATACCCTTCTCTCCCCTGCCAAATTACAACACCAGTACCACCCCCACCACCACCAATACCATCACCACCGCCAGCAGCGCCACTCCCAGCCCCAAACCCCAGTCTCGACGCTTACCTCCCCAGCTTCCACCCTCGAGTCCAAGCTCGACTCGCTCGACCAGCTCACTGGCCTCTCCAAGCGCGACGCCGCCTTCCGCGCCAAGCTCACCGAGTCCGGCGCCGTTTCCGCCGTCCTCAAGTGCGTTGACTCGGAGGAGCCCCGCCTCCAGGAAAAGGCGCTGACTTTGCTGCTCAATGTTAGCTTGGACGACGATAACAAAGTGGGTCTTGTCGCCGAGGGAGCAATCGCTCGAATCGTGGAGGTGCTCCAAGGTGGGTCCCCCAACAGCCGCGCCGTGGCGGCGACGATGTTGACTAGCTTGGCGGTGGTGGAGGTCAACAAGGCCACAATCGGGGCATACCCGTATGCAATTCGGGCTCTGGTTTCGCTTCTCAGGGACGGCAAGAGTCGAGAGCAGAAAGAGGCGGCAACGGCGCTTTACACCATCTGTTTGTTCCCAGATAATCGGCGGCGGGCGGTGGAATGTGGGGCGGTGTCTTTTTTGATCCGAATTGCTGAATCGGGCCTCGAACGGGCGGTTGAAGTTCTCGGTCTTTTGGCGAAGTGCAAGGAAGGTAGAGAAGAGATGGA